GTTTGCACTAGTAGTATGTGCAGTAATAACATCAGTAGTATTTGTTATAGAAGTATTTGCAGTAGTAGTAGTAGTAGTATATGTAGTACTGCAGTAGAAGTATTTGTAATGGTAATAATATCAGTAGTATTTGTTATAGAAGTATTTGCAGTAGTAGTATTTGTATTTGAATGTATTTGTTTGGAGGATAAGCTTCTTGAGACGTTTGAATGTCTCGTTTTCGAGGATCCTCATAGTTACAAAAATACAATTACAACGATATTTACAGTATTTGTAATAATAGTATCAGTAGTATTTGCAGTAGTAGTATTTGTAGTAATAGTATCAGTAGTATTTGCAGTAGTAGTATTTGCAGTAATAGTATCAGTATTTGCAGTAGTAGTATTTGCAGTAGTAGTATTCTCACCATGTCGTTTTCGAGGATCCTCATGGTTAAAAATACAATTACAGCAGTATTTAGAGTATTTGCAGTAATAGTATCTGTAGTGTTTGTAGTCGAAGTATTTGCAGTAATAGTATCTATAGTGTTTGTAGTCGAAGTATTTGCAGTAATAGTATCTATAGTGTTTGTAGTCGAAGTATTTGCAGTAATAGTATCTGTAGTGTTTGTAGTCGAAGTATTTGCAGTAATAGTATCTGTAGTGTTTGTAGTCGAAGTATTTGCAGTAATAGTATCTGTAGTGTTTGTAGTCGAAGTATTTGCAGTAATAGTATCTGTAGTGTTTGTAGTCGAAGTATTTGCAGTAATAGTATCTGTAGTGTTTGTAGTCGAAGTATTTGCAGTAATAGTATCTGTAGTGTTTGTAGTCGAAGTATTTGCAGTAATAGTATCTGTAGTGTTTGTAGTCGAAGTATTTGCAGTAATAGTATCTGTAGTGTTTGTAGTCGAAGTATTTGCAGTAGTAGTAATTCTTGTAAATCTTGCGTGCTGATTGGGGTCAGAGGTCGCGGGCGGCGTTCGGGCGACGTCATTGGTCCATTACGGCGTTTTCCGGTGAAACTCTTGGAGAGCAAGAAGCCATTTGACAAACCCGTAATCCGCCCGGGCCCAGACCGGGATCATAACCGGATCAGGGCCGGATCGGGGCCGGTCTTGGTGCGGGTCTTAGGACTCGGAGCGGCTCTAATCCCACATTAAGGCCACGGCGGTCTGTCACTTTAGAGATTGGATTAACGGGAGGGCATCTGATACAATCTGATCCTGCACCATTAAGGAATTATGGAGAAACAGGATTCACGAGCAAAAGTACCACGACTACTGCGAATATTTATACTAATACTAATACGACTACTGCTAATACGACTACTAATGCACCTCCAAGTACTAATATTTATACTAATATTACTACTACTACTACTACTACTACTACTACTGCTACTGCATCCAAGTACAACTCTTAATACTAATATTTATACTAACTACTACTACTACTACTACTACTACTACTACTACTACTACTACTACTACTACTACTACTACTACTACTACTACTACTACTACTACTACTACTACTACTACTACTAAACTACAAAATTACAAAACACCTCTAAGTACAACTGCTAGTACAAATATTTATACTAATACTGTGTAGTAGTACTGAGGTACGAGAGCGAGTGTTTGGGCATCAGGTTTAAAAGTGAAGGCCGTTTTCCCGCCAGTGTGGCTCCTGGTGTCAGGGTCTGTGCTGGAGGAGCCACACTGTACAGGAGGAGCCACACTGTGCAGGAGGAGGAGCCACACTGTGCTGGAGGAGGAGCCACACTGTGCTGGAGGAGGAGCCACACTGTGCTGGAGGAGGAGCCACACTGTGCTGGAGGAGGAGCCACACTGTGCTGGAGGAGGAGCCACACTGCGCAGGAGGAGGAGCCACACTGCGCAGGAGGAGCCTTGGACTTCATCCAAACCGTTCACACGAGAACGTTCCTGTGTCAGTGGCTCCTGAAGCTGAAACTCGTCTGTGTAAAAACTGAAACTGTGTCTTGTGTTTTTGGGGAATTGACCCGAGCAGCAGATAAACAGACAAAAGTAAAGGCCTGAGTCCCGACCCTTGGGGAACTCCACGGGGTCGAGGGCCAGGGATGACACGGCGTCACCGACTTGAACCGTCAAGCTTCGTTTGGTCAAATAAGACCTGGACCAGGACCAGACCCGACCCCTAACGCCCACTGCCCCAAACGAGACCATCAAACCCGGTGGTCCACGAATCGAACGCCAACCGCCGCTCGATCCAGCGCCAGAGTCACAGCGAGTCCAGCGTCCGAGGGCAGGAGGACGTCACTGAAAACTCGTCACAAAACTGAGTCTGGGTCCATTTTCATTTAAAAAAGAAGTGCGTTTAATAAACACAACTGAATATACGAACCAAGAAACCAGGTCAAAGGTCAAACAACACACCCTCTGACCTCTGACCCCTGGTGTGTTTTTTCTCAGGTGTGTCGGCGTGGCTGACGGTGAACTTCCTGCTGGGGGCTGTAGGGGGCGCTCCTGCTCCTGCGTCTGCGTCTGCGTCTGTGGGGACTCTGGATCTGGGCGGCGGCTCCACTCAGGTCACCTTCAGCCCGAGTTCAAAGGTCAGAGCCAAACTCGTCTGTCGTGAGGTCAGAGCGCGGATCTAAAATACACCTGGATAAGCCCCGCCCCCTCTAGCGGACGCTCCAGGTACTGTGCGATTCTCCCGTCAGGGCGTCGGCTTTTTTTATTTTCACACATAAACTTTTCAAATGTTTATGTCCTCTGCGCTCTGATTGGTCCACACGCTCCACGCCGCGCTTTGATTGGTCCACACACTCCTTGCTGTACTCTGATTGGTCCACGCTCCACGCTGCGCTCCGATTGGTCCACACGCTCCACGCCGCGCTCTGATTGGTCCAGACGCTCCACGCCGCGCTCCGATTGGTCCACACGCTCCACGCCGCGCTCCGATTGGTCCACACGCTCCACGCCGCGCTCTGATTGGTCCACACGCTCCACGCCGCGCTCTGATTTGTCCACACGTTTCACGCCGCGCTTTGATTGGTCCACACACTCCTTGCTGTACTCTGATTGGTCCACGCTCCACGCTGCGCTCCGATTGGTCCACACGCTCCACGCTGCGCTCTGATTGGTCCAGACGCTCCACGCCGCGCTCCGATTGGTCCACACGCTCCACGCTGCGCTCCGATTGGTCCAGACGCTCCACGCCGCGCTCTGATTGGTCCAAACACTCCACGCCGCGCTCTGATTGGTCCGCACGCTCCACGCCGCGCTCTGATTGGTCCGCACGCTCCACGCCGCGCTCTGATTGGTCCGCACGCTCCACGCCGCGCTCCGATTGGTCCGCACGCTCCACGCCGCGCTCTGATTGGTCGGGCTCGTGTGAATAATCTGTGTTTTGTCTCGTTTCAGTTTGTTGAGTCTCTGTCGTCCTCAGACGCCCAGAACCTCCAGAACCTGAACCTCTTCAACTCCTCCTACAAACTCTACACCCACAGGTCTGGACCAGGACCAGGACCAGGACCAAGACTAAACCAGAGACTAAAACCAGAGACTAAAACCAGAGACTAAAACCAGGACTAAACCAGGACTAAACAGAGACTAAACCAGAGACTAAACCAGAGACTAAAACCAGGACTAAACCAGGACTAAACCAGAGACTAAACCAGGACTAAACCAGGACTAAACCAGGACTAAACCAGGACTGAACCAGGACTAAACCAGGACTGCACCGTCATGGTGTCCCTGTGTGTGTTTCAGTTATCTGGGCTTGGGGCTGATGGAGGCTCGAGCGGCTGTTCTGGGACCCCCCTCTGCTCCAGGTAACACCCCCCTGATTCAGACCTGGTTTAGTCCTGGTTTAGTTCTGGTTTAGTTCTAGTTTAGACCTGGTTTAGTCCTGGTTTTAGTCCTGGTTTTAGTCCTGGTTTTAGTCCGGGTTTTAGTCCTGGTTTAGTCTCTGGTTTAGTTCTGGTTTAGTCCTGGTTTAGTCCTGGTTTAGTTCTGGTTTAGTCCTGGTTTAGTCCTGGTTTAGTTCTGGTTTAGTCTGGTTTAGTCCTGGTTTAGTTCTGGTTTAGTCTCTGGTTTAGTCCTGGTTTAGTTCTGGTTTAGTTCTGGTTTAGTTCTGGTTTAGTCCTGGTTTAGTCCTGGTTTAGTCCTGGTTTAGTTCTGGTTTAGTCCTGGTTTAGTTCTGGTTGTCGTGGTAACTGGGTCACTGTGGAACTTGAGCCCCTCAGAGGATTAATAAGCCATTATCTGAGCTCCGAATAAAACCGCCAAGATTAAAGGGACAGATGTTCACGAGGACATGTCCAATACAGCTGTGTCCACTGCACTGTCCACTGCACTGTCCACTCTGTGTCCACCGCACTGTCCACCACACTGTCCACTGTCCACTGCACTGTCCACTGCACTGTCCACTCTGTGTCCACCGCACTGTCCACCGCACTGTCCACTGCACTGTCCACTGCACTGTCCACTCTGTGTCCACCGCACTGTCCACCACACTGTCCACCGCACTGTCCACTCTGTGTCCACCGCACTGTCCACCGCACTGTCCACTGCACTGTCCACTCTGTGTCCACCGCACTGTCCACCGCACTGTCCACTGCACTGTCCACTCTGTGTCCACTCTGTGTCCACTCTCTGTCCACTCTCTGTCCACTGCACTGTCCACCACACTGTCCACTCTGTGTCCACCTCTCTGTCCACTGCACTGTCCACCACACTGTCCACTCTGTGTCCACCGCACTGTCCACTGCACTGTCCACTCTGTGTCCACTCTGTGTCCACTCTCTGTCCACTGCACTGTCCACCACACTGTCCACTCTGTGTCCACCACACTGCCCACTCTGTCCACTCTCTGTCCATGACATTGTCCACTCTGTGTCCACTCCACACACAAGGGGACATGTCCCGCACTCTGTGTCCACTGGTGTGGAGACCTGCCTCAAAACTGTTTTTACTGTCTTGATCTTTTCTCAGACTCGTCCATGTCTCAGTCTTGAAGGCGTTTGGACTCTGTCTG